AAAAAAAAAAAAAAAAAAAAAAAAAAAAAAAAAAAAAAAAAAAAAAAAAAAAAAAAAAAAAAAAAAAAGAATATGTTTGCCTACCTCTCATAGTTTTTTTCCTATTAGAAGAAATTGTCAATAACTTTCCAAATTGTCTGAACAAACCTTTACTCTGTGGGTATTCTCAGAACTTCAGGTACTATAAATTCAAGTGGAAATCTCTGCTTGGCTGACCACAGGTCCCCTTAAGGTCAGCATCTCCCAGATGGAATTAACTCACTAGCCTCCCACTATAAATTTGCTCTTTCTTCTGCATCTTAGGTGTCTTTCAGGCACCATAATATAGTCAGTCACCCCAGCCAGAAAACCAGATTGCTTTCTTAGGCTCTCTGGTTCCTTCTCTCTTCACACCCAACCACATCAATTCCTATTACATTTACCTCCGATTGACCCATGTTATGCCCTCCACACTCTAATGGCTTAATCAGAACGGGCTCCATTCTCTATTTCAAGGTCCTTGAAGGCAAGGATCAGGACCAGGCATCTTTTTCTTTGGATATGAGAGCAAAGAACAATTATGTTAAACACATACATAAGTACTAAAGATAAAATTCTAGGGTAAAATAGCACACACATGCATATGTACACATACCCAAAGAAATAAGTGTGTCTTGGGTACCTCGCAGTCAGTGTGGCACCTCTCCTGGCACACAGTAGGTGGCTTGAAAACATTTCCTGAATGAATGAGTGAGTGAATAAATGAGTGAATTATTCAATAAATGAGAGAATGTTAGAAGCATTCTCAGCAGAGGATAACTGGGGGTCTAGTTCTGCCAGGCCTGGGTTACATAAAAAAGCAAATCTGATTTTTGCAACAGGAAAAACAAAAGACTTTGGAAAAAGAGAAAGAAAGCAATCTGGAATTTTCCCAGTGATCTTGGGGTAGTATGTCCTTTCAGAAAATGAGAAAGGGAGGAGGATTTGGGATTGCCTGCTTTGGAAGATTTGCCTGGAGAGCTAACATCTTGGCAATGCTCATTGCTTATTTCTGCTGAAAGTTAACATTTGAGCCTAACTCTCTGTGTTTCATTTTAGGTGGACTCTCAGCTTTTAAGTCAGGAGTTGAAGAAATTGCCACTCTGGCAGACATAGACAATGACTTCGTTAATGATATCGTTGCCCGAGCTAAGTTCTATAAACGACAAAGCTTCTAGGCAAAGCTCTGCAGGTGGGCCAGGTTGGCAGAGTGCTCAGATGGCCACATTTGGGAGTTTTATATGAATGTGTTGTACTCAACACTGGCAAAGAAATGATTAAAATCATAAAAGAAAATTCATTTCCCGATTTTCTGAATGAAAGTAAGAATTGAAAAAAGGAAAGAAAAATAAATAAATGCACCCAGTTCACAATATGGTTCCCAGGAAATGTATATAGACATATATATATATATATATATATATATATACACACACACATACATATACATGTATACACACACACAGACACACATATATATATAATTACTTTGTAGTAAATGTGAATGTCATGGCAAATGGCATCTACGTATTTCAGCGAGGCTTCGTTTTAGCCCACGATTCCAATGCCCACCTACTCCCTGTCTACCAGAATTGCTAACAAGTTAAATAAGCCCTACTCAAGCTTTCGTCCTTTTCCCAGTATCTGCTCAAACTACTCCGGCTTTGCTTATGAGAAGTTCCTGGCTCGTAAGCCAGCCAACTCATGGGACAATGAAGGAAATAGGGATGGAATTCTAGTTTCACAGGAAACAGAGCCAACTGAGGTGAAGCTGTCATTTAAATTAGGTACACCAAGTCCTTCAAACCCACAGCAGCCTCCTGTGTTTTCTATTGTTTGTGAAGATCCAGGGACTGGCTTTTCCTATGTTCAGCAGTTGCTGCTGCACACTTTCTTTCATGGGGTCCACCCCTCACAAAACATGGCTGAAGATAAGCATGTAGGACCCAAATCAACTATGGTTCTTTGGTTCCAAGCAAAGTAACCACTTATACAAATTTTAAGCAATAAAAGGAAATTACTGGAAGTCTAACAAAGCCAAGTGAGAAGGTCAAGGAGATGAAGAGAGACCAGGCAACTTTGGGGTCTGGATAGCAGGAATGGGTTAACCATATTTTACAGCATCCCCAGTAAGTTAATGAATTAGCACCCTCACCAATACTGATGCATGTGCTCCAAATACCTTTTTCTGATTATTTCATCATTCTGCATCACTTTCATAGTGCCAGGAGAGGTTTGGAGCTGTTTATCTTGGGTCACATATGCACCTACCCCTTGGCTATTTTGCCCACACTACCCACAGTGGAGAAGAGACAACTCTCTAGAAGGAAAACGTGTACTGTTTGTGGCCTTTACTTCCACAATCAGGAGAGGACACAAGCACTAACATGTTGGAGTGTAAAGTGGACATGTGACAGTGTGGTCCTGCTGGGCCTCTAAATCCCTTTGGAGATGTTCGATGAATGTTTCAGCCCGTCACTTCTGTTTCCGAAAAGGATTCAAAATCATGCACATCTGACTCTGAGCCCCCTTGGAGAAAGCCAAGTAAATCCTTCTTTGCCCACTGATGTCTCAACCCAGCCTGAAGATTTCACCCAGGCAGAACCAGAAATCCTTGTTTCACTGGGCAGGACAGTGGTCAGTTGGTGTGGCAGCCCCTCAGCATGTAGGCCGACAGCTTCTATGACAGGTTGAGGCCCATGCTGTGCCAGGTGTTAAGTATTTTTATTATCCTCCCTGCCTGTGGGTCATCCAGGATGTTCTTCAGATGTTCACTTTGCTCAGGAATGATTTCTTTTGGGCTTTCCCTCATATGCATGAATTTCATCTAATCACTAGCCCCTTCAATGTCACTACTTCAACAATAAAGTACATCTAGATGAGACCACTTTCAAGTAATTTGAAAAACAAGAAATAGTACACTCACGTGTTTCCCAAGTGTATTCCCCTAGTATTCTCTCAATGACTAGGATGCCAAGAGATGTCCCATGGGAGACCTCACATTCAAGTTGCCTTAGTTTGGTTTCCCAGAAGCAGAACTTAAGGCAAGGATTCAAGTGTGGCTAGTTGGTTTTGGAACACTGGTATGAGGTGGCTCAATGGTACAGGAACAGTAAGACAGCCAATAAAACATGTCATCAAGCCAGCTACCACAGTGGGCACCTGAGCTCAGCCTTGCAGGAAAACTGCTAGGAATGGTGCAACACCCACTCCACAGAATTATTCTGCCCAAGGTACAAGGAGCTGGGGCATTTATACGTCAACTCCTGAAAACCATTGCTTGAGGGATCTGCCTGTAGGGCTTTGGGGGAAAGTGTTAATTCTTTGGTACTGTGGTTTGCCTTGCAAAAAAGCAGCACCCATTTCTGAATTTCCAAGGAAAAGGGGCTGCAGGCACAGAGGTACAAATACTGGCAGTTGGAAATCAACTGAAAATTCTGAAAGACCTAGGGATATGGGAGGGTGCTAACAGCATCGACTTTACCAGGGTTAGGTACACCTGGAGGTTGGGAATATCCTTCAAACATTGCTTGTTTTCATCTATGACTTAACAATATGGTAAGAACAATCTGAAAATAACACACAAGCCTCGTTATGTCTGGTGATTTTCATGCCAAAATTCTCCACGACCGTTTAGAAGTAATAATTAGTTGTAATACAGCTATCCCAGTCCTTATCCTCTTCCCATCTCCATCTAGCTCAACAGCTGATTCCCAGGGATTTGCTGAGAACAAGGTCAAAGATGTTAGACGCAAATGTGGCACCATTAGATATGATATCCAGTCATTCTCAATTTTCTTTATATTTTTTGCCTGTGCCCCTTTCAGGCATTATGAATTATTATGTGTCTACATTCTATTATGTAAAATAGCACTTCTTTTATAGTTGTCCAAAACTAGGTTCTTAGGTCAGGTGTGGTGGCTCACGCCTGTAATCCCAGCACTTTTGGAGGCCAATGCCGGAGGATTACTTGAGCCCAGGAGTTGCTTGAGCCCAGAAGTTCAAGACCAGCCTGGGCAACATGGCAAAACCCTATCTCTACAAAAATACAAAAATTACCCAGGCCTGATAGCACACGCCTGCAGTCCCAGCTGCTTGGGAGGTTGAGGCTGGAGAATCACTTGACCCTGGTGAGGTCGAGGCTGCATGCAGTGAGTCATGATTGCAGCATTTCACTTCAGCCCAGACAACAAAGTAAAACCTCGTCTCAAACAAACAAAAAATTCCAAAACCAAACCAAAACAAACAAAAAAACTAGGTTCTTACTGCAGGATGAAGAAAAATTGTCTTATAAATAGTTTTTATTTTTAGGTTTTGAAGGGAAGGCGAGGGTTAAAGAGACACAAAGAGAGAGAGTGGGGGCTCTATAGCAAGTGCAGGCTTTGTGTCTAGCATAAGCCCTTCAGAGGTGGGGACCAGCTTAATCCCAGCGCCCACCGCTGCTTACAGCCTGGGGCAATTATAGGCTGGGCAGGAATGGTCTGGAAGGGGTGGGGCATGGCCTGCTGCCTGGGAAAATGTTAACATGTTCCCGTCATTAGGCACTTTGGTGCTTGTTCCGGTGGAGCGTGATGTTTCTTACACTTTCTTCCAGCAGAATATAATAAGAGAGTCAGGAGGTTGGGCAGGCTGTTTCTCACAACCTGAACCCCTGTGGAATGTTTCACTTTGACCAAGGTCTGTGAAATGACAGGGGCGGGAAGGGGGGCGTACAGAATGGGTAAAAATTGGACAAAAAATTTTGAAAGCAAAAAAAAAAAAAAAAAAAAAAAAAAAACTAAAAATATTTTCCTTGCTGGACTTATGACTATATTCTCATCCTTTCTTTTTCTTGGCCATGAATTCCTCACTTGCTAAGAGAACTGTGACAAAATAAGAAATAGATGCTTGGTCTCTGCAGCGTGGTGCAGGGGAAGCAAGGGGAGGAAGTCTCTGCTTCCACACCTGTGACCTCTAAGAACGCTCTCCACACTGATGATTGATTGAAGTGCTGTACGCTGTGATGCCTTCTGTTTTACAATACTAGGTAGGGGAAACATTCCCCAGACAAACTATCCATTCCCACAATACAACCAGGCAAAGATGCAGCAAGCCCTTCTCACGAAGCCTGTTGAAAAACACTAGTTCGCCTACAAACTTTAATTCCGTCAACCACTACATTCCTAACTGTGGCCTCCATTAGGACTTAATTAACAGGTTTTGGTGTTACAATACTAGGTATTAAGAAGTGTTAGGCCGGGCGTGGGGGCTCATGCCTGTAATCCCAGCACTTTGGGAGGCCGAGGCAGGTGGATCACCTGAGGTCAGGAGTTCAAGATTAGCCTAACCAACATGGTGAAACCTCGTCTCTACTGAAAATACAAAAATTAGCTGAGCTTGGTGGCACACATCTGTAATCCCAGCTACTGGGGAGGCTGAGGCAGGAGACTCACTTGAATCCAGGAGGCGGAGGTTGCAGTGAGTCGAGATCGTGCCACTGCACTCCAGTCTGGGCAACAGAGTGAGACTCTGTCTCAAAATAAAAAAGTGTCTGCCTCAGGGCTTCATCAGTGGGTTTTGGAATCACAGTGCTGGGACTCCTGTATCCAGTCCCAGTAACCTTTGCTCCACACCCTCGACCATTTTACCTACTGATGTAGATAAGGCTTTAGGTCCCCACTGAGGAGGGGTAGAGCCAAGGAACTGTGACCCTTTTGTCAATCTTTATCTTGATGAACCCGCTAACCACTGTCACAGTGATTACCGGTCAGGTTTCTCATGGTAAACTTTGCCTTCTGGCTTTCTAAATTTCTCCAAATTGGAGTAAATAGAGCAGGCTTGTTTGGAACCCTTTAATGTTGAGGGACCAGCAGGGGGTCCCTTGGGCTTGCTCAGCCTTTGGTAGTGCCGTGTTAAATACTTTGTTTTAATCCATCACTGTCCATTTTATTCATCCCATTTCTGAATAACCACCTAAAGCTTTCTACCCTCCTGGTACAAGTCCCACAACTCTCCTCCTTTTCTTCTTTGTTTTGCTACTGTCAGTATTTTCCTTAAACACTTCCTTTCTTTTTCTTTTCTCTTTTTTTTTTTGAGACAGAGCTTCATTCTTGTTGCCCAGGATGGAGTGCAATAGTGTGATCTCGGCTCGCTGCAACCTCTGTCTTCCAGGTTCAAGTGATTCTCTTGCCTCAGCCACCTGAGTAGCTGGGACTATAGGCGCGTACCACCACGCCCGGTATTTTTTTTTTTTTTTTAAGTAGAGACGAGGTTTCACCATGTTGGCCAGGCTGGTCTCGAACTCCTGACCTCAGGTG